CGCTTTGCCGCTGAGCTAAATCCCCAGCCCCTACTGTAACTTTTTTCTGCTTCCATACCATTACTTGTGAACCAAAGGTGAGGAATAAGCCCATGGGAAATACATTGTCCTTTACTACAGCAGGGGGAACTCTTCAGAAAGGTTCCAGACAAGTTGACTCTTCATTACAAAAAAATCAGCAATGTTATTAAATCAGTTTTGTTCTTCTTTGTGTTAGTGATGGTGGAAAATAAATAAATTTGAAAAGATAGAAACAATGATTTCAATGTTGGAAATGTCATACATTCTGGTAACATACTAAATTTGTCAATAATTTAGCTATAAAATCATAAATCTTTTATTCCTTTGAATAAAATTTTCTAATACCATGTAGAACACATGAAATAATTTAGCCTATAAAAATAAAAGAATAATATGCAAAATGGTTACATTGGAAATATAAAATACCCACCTAGCTGTAGAAAATTAGTTCTCAGAGAAGGTATTTCTTTTTATATCTATATTCTTAGATATATCTTAGATATGTTTCCATAAAAAGAATAAAATGTAATGGATTTATCACTTTTAAAGCATAGAAAGTGGCTATTCAGGGGATTCTCTATTCAGGGGATAGAGAAAATGACTCGATAGACCTGGGATTGGGGCATAAGGGTTAGGGTGGAAAATGACCAACAAAATTCAATAGGAACAGAAATGTATACTACACAAAAATACATATTTCCAAAATTCTTCCATTGTGTGTGATTTAGCATTAGCCACATAGTGACTTCAGTGGGATAACATCTACATCTTGAAAACACAATAATGGCATTTATTAAGACTCCCCCATTTATTAAGACTCCTTAAACTGGATGATCATAATTTCTTTTCATTGTTTGGTAAGGGTTCCCAAGCAGTTCTCTTGGTAGCCAATGATTTATAACAAATCAGGTGAATTAGCTCTATTTGGAAAATTAGAACTGTGCCTTCCTTGACCAAATAGAGAGTAGAGAATTACCTTTGTCCTAGATGCAATGATCTGAGCAATTGCACTCATTAAGGGCGTGATTCCCAAGCTATTATCAATGTCAAGTTTTTTCTACTTTGTAGTTTCTGCCAATTGGCATAACTTTAGCAGGAAAGTTGGAGATAAGGGAGAATGAACTGTGTATACACTTTCTGCAGACAAAAGCATAAAAACAAAAATAAACAAAGATGGCAAATTGTGAGAGATTACGACCATAGTCTACCGTTTCCGCACAAGGAATGATTCCTCATCTGTGTCTGACTACATAATATACACTATATTTTTTCCTATATGCAACCTCTAATTTATAAATTTGACCGAGTAAGAAATTAACAACAATAATTACTAATAAAGAACAATGATAACAACACTGTGTAATAAAATTATATGAATGTGGTCTATCTTTTGAAAGAATCAAGAAGTATATTTGATATTCTAAGACTGTAGTTAACCATGGTTAGCTAAAACCAAGGAAATAATTGCATGTTTATATCTGTTTTCATGAGAAGCCACTTTGAAGATATCAATATGTAATACAACCACCATTGTTAATTCCCTACCACTTTGTAACTCTGTGTTGTCTGTATTGTGCTTGTGATATGTTGTAAAATGTTGTATGTCTGTTAATGTTTCCCCTCCTTTTATCTTTAAAATAAAAATTAAAAAAAATACATGCATAAAGGAAGACTATTACATTTAGAAATCAAACTCTCCCCTGAGCAGGCATGGAACTCCTCCTTAGATCATTGTCTCCCTGGCCACAGCTTTGTTGCTCTTATGCTCCTTAATACCATTTTTTGGTTCTTTTTCATTATTTTCAATTTCAAAATATAGAGTGCGGAATAATTAGGAAGTTTCTGCACGATTCTGTTTAAACATTTAAATAATATACTAGGAAGTTATTGTTTTGCTGATGCTAATGCTGTAGAATAAACTTAACTTTAAAAAGGAGGCAAGAAAGAATGTATTTATTTTCCTCGAAAATCCAACATACAAATGTGAATTTGGAGAGTCCTCTACTTACAGCAGGCTACTGAAATCCACTGCAAGTCTCAATTTAACAAAGCTCAGTGAATTTCTGTACATGAACAAATGGGATGAAACCGAGGGAATCCCCCAAAAGACTCATATTTAGGACCATGCTGCTTTGCCCCCGTCACGAGTTCCTTTTTGTTTATTTCCACATCACATTCATTATGGTTGTTTTAAACACATGGTTCACTAATAAGCTATTTCAAGATGTCACTGAATTTTCAAAGTAAAATATAAAGCAGTAACTTAAGAGAGGACATGTCACCCTGCCTTTCGATTGAAGAAGAAATAAACCCTAATACTACAGGAGGAATAGATAAGTGGTCAGATCAGGAAATTCTCTTGAACTCTTCAGGCTTGATGGACACACCTTCAGAAAAGATATCTCAATCCAATTCCCGGGACGGCAATCAATAATACAGTCTTTACAGTTAGGTAATCAGAGTTAACAGGGGGGTAGTAAGTGGAGTGGAGTACAGCAGGAAGGGGATTGAGCATAATGCCCTTCCATTGCTTTCAAAGTCCTATGTTTTTCCTGAGGGCACCAAAGAATAGCTGTGTAGAAGGCAGAGTAAATCAGCCCCAGGGAACACTGTCTCTGCAAGACGCCAGCATTAAGCTGAAGTGGAGATGAGTTTCAAGTTCAGAACACCCCCATCCAGCAATAAAAAAGATATAAGATATCGACACGCTCAGCTGCATCTTGTTAAAAGCTTCCTGCGGGCTGGCAGAATGAAATCTTTATTTAAAATACACAAACTATTGTCAAGGGAAGGATGGAGAAGAGAACACGGTAAAAGGGGCCAAATGCTTTGCTTAACCCACCAGGAGCAGCAGCAGAAAGGGAGAAGTATTCACATTGCCTTTGCAGCGGAAACAGCAGAATGGGTGACGAACGCCCCTGCATCCGTATCCATCTGCTGGCCCCGTGGTTTCAAGATGCGTTCTTTCTCTTCTTATTAATTATATATGTTTCCACGGGGAGGGTAAATATATTATTATAAATAGCCAGCGAGGAGATCATTTGTGCTGCCGTTTGGCATTAAGTACAGTAGTGGAAGCGACGAGTGAGTGGTGATAGGAAAGACGGCAGCACCTCTGAGCCGGCAGCCCTCCCACCAATCAGCGCCGACTCGCTGTCAGCACTCAGCCGCCGCCTCACAGAAAGTTCATGTGAAACCATTATTGAACACTAACAGGAAGGAACTGAGACAGTAGTGAGTGGTACGCGAAGGCGCGGAGAGGGAGGCCAGCGAGCAAGGGAAGGGAAGGGAGACGGGGTAATAACCAGTCATCATCTCGGGCAGACGGCACCCTAAGAGGGGCAAGTGCTTTGTGTAATTACACAGAGGAACCGAAGGGCACGCACGCACGCACACGTGCGGGGGTGTGTCCTTCCCGGTTAGATACTGTTATTTCCAAGAACGGCTTTAGAGGACTGTGCCTGGGAACCTTCTTGGATGCCTGAGCTTGGCGGCTGTAGGGAGGCTGACCAGGAAGCCTGGGAGAGGAGGGGTTCCGAAAAGGGTTCCCTCCGAACAGCACAGGGACCGGGCGACCACCGGAACAGGCAAACCACCCCCGCCAACACACACACACACAAACCCAAAACAACACAACACAAAATAAAAAAAACTCACAAACAAGCAAAAGAGATGAAAGAACCGCGGGGAAAATGTCACCTATATTGATTAAGCTTTATTTTGGGGGGAGAGAAAGTGACATTTCCGTTATCAGATCAGGAACACACAAGGAAGTAGATGTCTCACCGCTTTTTTTTTCTTTCCTCCAAAGTGCTTACAGCACCTTTGACCAGAGGGTCCCTGGGATCCTGTGCAGACTGCCAGCAGGATCACGATCTTGGCTTTCTCTCTTAAGCATCAACCTGTGACACCGCTCTCTGCTTAGCAGGAGACGAGCGTTCACTGCCCGCAGCTGTAGGCGCCGATCAGACACAGCGGCGGCACAGTGCGGAGCGCTCGCCGCTGCGCTTCTCCCAGCCCTTCCCGTCTCCCTCCAGCTCGGTTCCCCTTTAGTTTGCCAAGGAGGTTCCAGCTTCTGAAACCACCTCGCGCCCCGGGCTACCCGGCCGCCTACCCACGCCCAGCGCTCGCGGCGCCCAGGCTGCTCCGGGCCGTGCGTCCACAGGTCCGCGGCCAG